ATACAATCCAATAGGTATGTTTGAGCTAGTACATAATAATTAGTAAATCAATCAAAATAGTTATAGAGAGAGAGAGAGAGAGAGAGAGAGAGAGAGAGAGAGAGAGGAAATGGGTTCTAGCAGGCTGCAAAAGAGGATAGCATTGCGCCGAAAGCTTCACATTCTCCGGGCCCTTAACACTTCTTCCAAATCACATGTACATTTTTCATACATATACTATGTGTTTTTCTTCCTATATTTCCCTCAAAATCTTAATTTTGGTGCAAATTAAACTAGCCATTTTCAACTCATTATTTTTACATGCATTTATGAAGGTGAAGAGCAGCTCAACTATTCTCATGAACACGTTCCTCTACATTTACTTATTGAAGCTCAAACTAGAAGCGGTTAAAAGAGTATACTCAAATCTTTTGGCCATAAAAAATGACTACTTAAACCTGACAAAGAACTTCCACGTGCCTAAGGTATATATATGTGTGTGTATTTATATATATATATATATATGATTCTCTCTCTCTTTCATCGATGTTAATCCACAATATTTTTTAGGAGATTTTAGTAGTGATATGTTTTGTTTGAAATTAAATATTTGATATTACAGGAAGTGAAGGTGGAGAAAACAGAAGAAGGGTCGTTTGATGTGAGGGTGAGATGCGAGAAAGGAGAAGATACTCTTGTTTCGGTTCTTGAGGCTTTTGAGGAGATGAATCTTTCTGTGTTGCAAGCTAGTGTTTCATGCGAAGATATTTGGTTTTCCATGGAAGCTACTGTTGTTGCTCAAACTCATGATCATCATGATGACCAAGCCAGCTTGAATGTCAAATCCATCACGCAAGCCATCACCAAGGCTATAAGCCATCACTAATTAAGCTTAGTTTAATTTCTTCATGATTTCGACTTAATTATCTAGGTATAAATTATTACTTCACATGGATTTGTATTTTGTTGCTAAATCCTTATGTTCTTAAGGTAAAAGAAAGGAGTTATCCTGGAAATTAATGCGATTGAGTTTTGAGTATTTGATATTAAAATCTTTTTTTTTAATTTTTTTAATTTTTTATTTTTTTGGGTGATGAAATGGGGAATGTAGTTTTTAATCATTATTTTGCATGGAACAAGATTACGAGAATGACAGGGTGTCATTCTTATGCCGGGACAAACTTTTTTTATATTAATGTGCCACTTGCTCATTGAGCAATTGGCTGTCCTATTGCTTGTTTTCGTAGATATAAAATGGTATTAGTTTAGTCCCTTTTTTTCTCCTGTATCATGATGGGAAAAGGAACAGCTGTTCTTGTTGTCCATCTGAAAATCCGGGGCAGTAGAAATTATATAATAATAATTACTGGATGAGAGAACGGGCTAAGAAATATCGTATCATTCTAGAAGCCCTAACAATCAACCTTGGAAATTTGCCAATTCAATGATGATGTGCTTAATAGTGCCGATGGTATCGGTTCCTTCGTATGTCAATAATTGACAAGAACCTTTTTTATTTAAATTTTTTTATGAGAAAATACTGTAACAGAATTAAAATTATAGATTTAAAAACCAAACGAATTCTAAGTTTTCACCACTTGGAAATTGGATCCATCCAATATCCTGTTAAAGGGGGTTAAAGTTAATGGTGTTTAATGTCTCTAAACTCCTAAATGTGTGACTATTTGATCAAGGATCAAAAGATAAAAATTAAGGGGCTGTTCTTTTACATTTTTGAGTTATTGTGACTTTAGTAATTATCTTGAATTGAATTTGAGTTATAACTTGAGTTAAAGTTATAACTTGAGTTTGTGTTTGGATGTGCACTGATGACGGGCATTTCTACCAACAAATCAAGTACTTTCAAGCATGAATATTTGTAAGTCTCAAGCATTTTTTGTTAGTTTATTGTCTTTTGTTTGCTTTTATAGGAATTATAAATAAATGCGAACTTGGATGATTTTGCATGAAGAAAAGAAGAATATTTGCCCAACTTATGAATCAATGCCAAGAGGAGGCGAAAGAGGATTTTAAGGCACCAAAGAGGAGGCTTTGGAATGCAAGAAAGTGGGCTACAGGGCGCAAAGGAAAGCGAAGTCAGAATGGGACGCGCGCCTGCG